GCCCTACTGAATTTTGTATTGACTCGTCTAATTCTATTTCATGTTTGTCAAATGTTACAGATAAAGATATTGAAATAGTTGATGAGGATCAATGTGTTAAACCAATGTGGGTCAATGAAGAAGCTCCACAATTTATGAAAGAATTTGATAATGATGTCATAGATGATATTCATGTGCAACTGTCTGACTTGCATGTTAATAAAAATTATAGTGAAGTTATTGTTAATGACTTAACTGAAAAATGTTCAAGAATCATTCCGGATGCTGCTGATAAATGTGGTTTTCTAAAGCAAAAACTGTCTAGTAAAAAGGGTATGACAAGTAATGTGTTTGTTAATCATAGCAAACCCTGGTTTGATAAGTTGTAGAATGTATTGCAAACAGTATTTGCATGCAAAGGGTTAATATAGAAGGTTTCACTTCACTACAAACTATGGAACTTTGATAACAAGTTGTAAACGTTACAAAAAGGAAGTCCATGTTAAGTTTAGGTCAATTCATGCTGAGGTTCACAAAAAGTTAAAGGTTTACAAAACTCGGATCCTAAATCTTACTGAGCTCTTTTAGACAAATATTCAAGCGAAAGGAAAACTGTTTTGAATAAAATTTCTAGTGAGGTATTTTATAAGCATTTTAGTAAGCATAATCAGAATGTAAATGATGTTGGCTTAGGGTTTCTAGGGACAGGAATGGTATGGAAGATGCATCTCAATTTTCTTTTAATAATGAGAACTTAGAATTAGTACATGATTTTTTTTATCATGAAAACTGGTAAATTTGCTAAACTAAAAAAACGTCTAATTGATCATGTTCTGTCTGATAAAAAAGCTAGAAAATTGTTAATATCGGTAGATCTACAGATCCACTTGTATAATACAATGATTGTTTTGATCATTTGCCATGGCTCTGAAGTCTGGGGAATAGAAAATTTAAAATGTATTGATCAGTTTCAGCTTTAATTTTGCAAAATGATACTTAACCTCAAGCAAAGTACTCCCAATTGTTTGTTATATGGTGACCTTGAAGTAACTCCGATATCTTTACAAATAAAAAGTAGAATTATTTACTTCTGGCGTAAGCTTTTGAATAGTAAAGATAATAAGATTTGTAATAGTTCATATAAGACTGCACACTCTGTATATGTTATATGTATGTTTATATAAATCAGAGTTTGTATTCGAAGATTATTCTAACATACTACTTGGCAACTGTCTTCAGCTTTGTTAAAATTTAGATGTATGAATCATAAAATGAAAATTAAGAAAGGTAGATTCCTAAAAATAGAAAGAAATTTACGTTTATGTACTTTATGTAATCAAGCCAACTGGATGACGAATTTCACTATCTCTTTTATTGTTCACACTTTGGTAATAGTACACGTAGATTTATTGAACCGTATTATTATAGATATCCTAATGTATTGAAATTTGAAGAGCTTATGAATAGTGACATCAAATCACATTAAAGAAATTGCTTTATTTTGTAAAGAAATAATTACAACATGCAAATAATAAGTGTAATGCTGTAAATTAGTCTACTAGAAATCTTGTTAATGAAGCATAATATTTGGTTATTATTTAGAACAAACTCATATCTGTATTTTATGGGTACAATGTTATTGTCGCTCATTCTCATGTTTTTATGTATGTTTTTTTATGTATATTTTTCTGTGTTCCGGTTGTTAGAATGTTCACAATTTTGTATTTTATGTCACATATTCTTATGCACCATGACGGTATTGACTAAATCTTCAATTCTCGCAGTGGTTACTTCCCTCGACCAGGACAATAAAAAACAAATAAACTACAATAAGGGATCACCTTCCCTGGGTCAATCAATATGAGACTGAGCAGAAAAAGAAAAACGGGGCTTTAAAAAGGTTAAAAAAATCAGGACCATGTTCTGATATTAAAAAGTTTCCTGATATAAAACATCTAGTGCGGAAAAGGTTAAAGAGGTTTATAACCAGTATCTCGAAAACATTCCTAAATTAGAGTTACATTGATGCCTAAAATGGTAACAAACCTATTACTTAAAAGCTGTACTTATTTATTTAACATTTAAAACAAGAAATATTTGCTGTTCCCCCCATTAAAGTACAAAAATTTCAGTCAGTTTTTAGCCTCAAATCTCCCTAATCCCTTGCGTCCTTCAATAAAATAAACCATGAGAATGGTCAATCTGTCCCTTCTATGCCAGATATCCAAACAGGAGCAAAAGGGATGGAGAAACTGCAATAACCTAAACCCCATAAAGCCTGATAAAATATAACGAAAAATTCTCAACTCTTTCTAAAGCGTTCTCTCCAATCCTAGAGGTTATTTTGCAAAATCCATCGATCAAGGCTTCTTGCCTTCCAAATGGAAATGGAATCTTCTAGAAAGGCGTTAGGTAAATCCCTGCCAATTATAGGCCACTTTTCTTAATATATGTAAGGTTATGAAACACATAATTTCCTCTTCTATCATGAAACATTTGACCAGCCACAACATCATTTACCACCTACGACATGGTTTCAGGGAAAATATCATGTATTTAGCAACTTGTTTTGTTTGTAAATGACCAGGTCACCACAGTCTATGAGAAAATGCAAGTAGATCTGATAAAGTTATGAGAAAGAACTGCTAAAATGATTATGGAATCACAGATCAAACTTTAAGATGTGTCAAAGATTTTGTAGATAACAGACAGTTGTGATTAATGGCTGCAGCTAAAACCCGATCGCAGTATCCTCATGCGTCCAAGGCTAAGATTTTGGACCCCTTCTGTTTCTTGCATTTATAAATGACCTCCCACAAAACATAATTCCCAGATACGCTTGTTTGCAGACGATATTGCAATATACATTGCTTTGACATCTGCATACCAATCAGTCACCCCAAAAATGACCTAAATCGGTAAAAAAATGGGAGTTGGAGTGGGATATGGAATTTTACCCCTCCATGTGTCAAGTTATCCACGTCACAAAAAGGAACACACCCTGTCCCAACACAATACTACCTTCATGGAGTCCAATTCGAATCGGTTACCTCAGGTAAATACCTCGGCGTTGATATATCAAAAAAAAACCTTACACGGGATGTAAACAGGAAATTAAAGAAAGCAAATCAAACTTTAGGATACCTACGCACAATCATAAAGATTAAACCCCAGTCCGTTATCTCCGTTGCTTACCACACGTTAGTCAGACCCAAGCTTGAATATGGTTCTAAAGTATGGTCTACCGACACCAAAATAAAAATACATGTATATTAAATTGAAAATATACAAAGAAAAGCAGCTCGATGGATGAAGCTAGATTATTGTCATATTATAAATTCTACTTCTTTTCTAGGACTTTACACCATTTGAACTACCTACCCCATGCAGTTGCCTTACTCCCTACCTAGGAGAAGTCCAGTGCAGCCATAGCTAGCAATTAACATGTCTCACCCTAGTTTTCCGCAACCCCCTTATTGATGTTCATGCAACGTTCTCTTATTCCATTATAAAGTGGGCAAATGAAAAAGAAAAGGTGTGTAGTTTCAGTAAGACAACAGCTCCATAGTTCTGACTGAGAAATGTTTTTAATCCTGAAAAGATGATGACTACATGCTGTTCTTCTAGAATCATGGCTACGTTCATTTATGATACGTTATGGATATGCATTATTCTTATGCAAACACTTTTATTATTTTTAAGGGCACTACCTCTAATTAATGAATACATGTATATATGGAAAGAAGAAAGTCATCAGTGGGAAATTATAAACAAAAACATCACACTAAAAATTCTGCACACCACACCCGCGGAATTGCCTGTCCAGTATGCTAACCATTACACCACATCATCCTTCTGCCGGAAGTATAAGTTCCTAAGTAAGTTTTAACTTCCATGTTCTTTCATATGAGTTCCGATCTAACGTTAGGCGACAATAATGCTAACCCATTAGCGCCGGTGTATTTTTCAATAAAAGAGTGTGTAATGAACAAAATAAATAATTAGTTTAAAAATGAATAACGATGATGGCGAACAATTAAATCGGATATATAAATAACATTTTACATCATTCATTTACTATAAGAGAATGAATTATTTATTTCCAGTCAAATTTTATTTGACTTGTTTATATAAGCCATACCCCTCAGGTGAATTATGTCAAAACCAAAAAAAGGCAATTTCAAATAATAATAATACAATTTATTAGAGCTAGCAGACACGTAAACAACGATAAGTCAAATACAAATTACAAATTGAAATTATGTATCAGTGTTATGCAGGACTACACATAAACACTTTACAACATCAATGAAAGTAAATGTTATTTAATCAAAGATAGAATGATCTATTCATTAAAAAAACACAGAATGAATAGGAACAAAACCGCTTTAACAAATGTTATAGAATATATAAGCGGAAATAATTAAAAATGAAACATAAACAAATTAAAAACATGCAATACAGAACTAAACAAGCTAAACAATAAAGAACACAAAAAGGGCGGGAGGGAGTGGCAAATTTGAAGAAAACAACCGACTAAATACGTGTCTTGACAAAAACTGTAATTAAAAGGCGCCAAAACCGAACTTAAATACAGTTTGGCGTAATGATACAAAAGTGACCCTTGACCTAACTGATGAAATAACCAATCAAAAAGGTTGTTTATTAATATACAACAAATGGAATGGAGTAATAGTACAAAAATGACCTCTGACCTATATAAAAAACAACCAATGAGAAAGGCTGTTTTATCCATAATTAAAAGATTTTATTGTAAACAAAATGCTTCAAATGAGATGGACACTCCGATCTATAACAAACAAACTAATATCCTCTAATCACTTACTTTTAATCATGTTTAACTTTATTCTTCAACCAAAATATCGATTATCTTATTATAAAACGAATTTTACATAACAAATTCTCATTATACTTAATGTATATAGACTCATCGTCTATGATAAAATACAGTTGTGCATTAAATGAAGGAAAACATTTAGTGTTTTTATACCTGTTGCGAATGTAAACAATATGGCGGACACCATCACGCAAAACATTTTGTGCAAAATTTGTGGTGAAACTAAAAACCTTAAACGATGTGGGACGTGTAAACGAGTTTACTATTGCTCACGGGAACACCAGTTAAAAGACTGGAAAGGACATAAAGAAACTTGCAAAGAATTAAAATCCAGTCAATACGAAGAACAAACAGGTACTAATGGTATGGTGTACAGTAAGGGTAATAAATGCGGTATCGGCGAAGGAAAGAGTAATATATGCGGAATCAGCGAGGAAAATTTGAATATAGGTAAAGTTGATGAAAACCAACGTTCTGGTAATGGTAGTTGTTTAAGTAAAGAGGTCATGGTCGTAGAGTCTGATTCTAATGATTTGGTACCTTTTGACAATAGGCCATTTAGATACGAAGAATTTACAAGCATGCCGTCAAACACTTCTGAAATTGACATCGCCAAATTCGCCGTTAATACGTTGAACGAAAAAGGATTCTGTGTAATAGATGGTTTATTTACAAAAAGTCAGTATCAGAAATGCTTTAAAAGATATAAAAATTTGCGCAGACGATGAGAAATTTAGCAGCGGAAAAGTGGGTGGTGCAGGACAAGTAGAGAGCAAGAAAAACAAGAAGTGATAGCCGATATTAGCCAGGGGGTCGAAACGTATAGCAGTGCGATACTCCTTAAGTCGAGGTGAATTCATGCGATACGCCCTAATTGCGGACGGGAGCGAAAAACGAAAGTGGGTATGAGCATAGTTTTTTTTCCAAATATTTGTTGTCTATTGTATTTTTTGAAAAATAGCATTGTGCTTGCTGATCAGAACTTATAATTGTGCATGATTGTGAAAATAAATACTAAATTTTATTGAATTGAGGAAGTTATTGAGGTATTTGTATGCTGCTGCAAATTCAACCCGTCAACCTGATATGCACATGCAAACGAATAATGTATCAGTCGTTTTAAAACGAGATATTCGATTAGTTTAAGTCCCAACATGTTTATTTTTGAAAAACAAAACGATATACAAGAGTAGTTTTCCATATCTATCCGAAAATATATAAAATATTTCCAGTTTCTTACTGTACGCCTAGTATTTGGTCGATAAACCAAACTGTACGCACAAATGTTGGTATGTTTTACTGTAGCAACTTCCTTATTACAGTACATTCTTATTCAATTTTGATGAAATATCAAGTTTTGAGTTTGTATGTTAATCATATGTAAAACTACAGTGTCAATTAAAACAACAGTGTCAATTAATGTATTATACTATTAATAAAGTTTAATTTAAATATTCTTTTCTCACAAAGGTTAATCATTAAAATGAGATAAGTTATGCACAGAAACTTGAAATTCTTACTATCAAATAATCAATAGTCACGATAATATTCGTTTTGTTTCTTCATTTTTTTTTTTTTTGCAATGGAACTTGAAATTTATTTTTAAAAAATACTGTTTCATTTCCTCTATGGATTGGGTGTTATATATTATATACAGAGCACATCATTGTATTTCAGTAATTCTGATGTTTGTCATTAGCTCTGTCGCTGGAATATATAACTATACTACTCCATAACCAGTGTATACCAAACAGCTTTTGTGTATTTGCTTATGAAAGCAGTCATACTTTTAGTGATTTAACATATCTGCCAGTAGTTTTACTTTTAAAACTAGGCTTTCTCTGCAACATTTAATGTATAGCATTTACCCCTCACTTTTTTGTAAATACTTTATTTAGTCGCACCAATTTTGTGTGTATTTTTGTGTATATAAAATGTACACATGTATATTACTTTTAACATACCTTCTTATATGTCTGCGACATTTTGGTTGTTAATGCATATTCAACAACCATCACATATTGACTTCTGACAGGTCACTGGATAGAATTATGCTAATTAAAATATGCAGCCCTAAATATAATTATTATTGGACATATTTATAACGTTTATTGTCTAATTTAATTTATTTTATCAGCAGTAGTAGGCCGTACCTATGATAATCAGAAGAAGTGCTGTTTTGTTAAGCACCTCCTGTAAGTAAATTGATCTATAACGAAAGGTCTGTAATACAATTAATAATTATGTCGGTGTTATTTGTATATCAGACATAAAAGAAACATATATATGTCATAATATATTTATTTTTCATTTTCTTTACTTAATTTTTTATAACATCCAAGGGTGATATGTAGCAAATAATAAATTCTAATATCTTAAACTTTAATTTTAGTAAGAGGAACCGTACTATAAGCCGATATACCAGAGGGATTACTTACGATAAATCGTGCATTATTAAACTTTATTATATGATCTTAATATAGCTGCAGTCTCATTGGTCCAAAAGTAGTTGACAAAACCTTTTATCGAATCATAATCACTGGGTGTAGTGTAATATTCACTGGCTGAATTGGATTTTCCCAGTCTAAAAATAGATTGAGAATGATTCAATGACCATATATCGTAGACTGTTAATTACGCGTGCTTTTAAAAAAGAAATGTTGCGTTTTGTTCTTTATGGTAATTTTCTTGATTAAAATATCATTACTTTACTATTATTCATGAAGTTAAAAGATTCACCGCAATGATGAGTATAAACATGAATTAGTTTTGTATGCTCAGCATTCGCATAGTAATTGCACGCCTTACATGTGTGTCTTTTTTCCCTCGCTTCAACGAAACAGGCAAAAGTTGTACATATGATAAGGTTGTAATTTCTCTGATTTCTTTAATATTCATGTTCTTATATTCACATAATAAAACAATTATTGACTAGTGTGCTATCGCATCGATCTATATGCCATCTGCCGGTGAATATCACATCATATTCAATGGCACACTAATCACTTATCGTATAATGTCACAAAAAAATTTTATTTCTATTTATCATTCTTAGAAAAAGACAATTGATACAAATATGTTTAAATACAATAAGCATAAAAGTGTTGTTTTTCCCTGAGTCTATATGTGTATTAATAATTTTTTGCTTGTAAATATTCCTTTTTGTCTTATAAATATCAAACATAATGCACTTCACTGTCTGTTTGATAAGTGTGTTTGAAATCACAATAGTGTAGCCAAAAGCTACTTAATTCTAAGATAATTTTGTTTGTGCAGCTTTAGCGTAGCCGTTGAACGTTGAACGTCACAATTAAAAAAAAATGTTAATGAACTGAAACCATTTTAGCTTTTAGCTTTTCGGAACTTTTTGTTGGTGTGTGTTTTAGTTACTGTGGTGCTATAGATTAACAAAACAATGACATTGGATACACTGATGAAATGTTCCTCGCTTAATATATTGTTACTATATTTTTACAAAATATCGTGATCTTTAAAATGTTAAATGGCAAATATGACATATTTTCACGGTCATTGAAAGTCATGCGTTATCATTTCCTAAATCCTCAATGTTTCTTCCTTAAGTAAATTAGATATTTTCATTGATAGAACATATAACTTATAGTTTTTCGTCATGTTTGTGATAGTTATAATTACTATGTACAATACTGAATTATGCAGTATGGGTACAAAGCTGTCAAATCTATAATAGGCGAGGTGCTAGTTTTACGTCTATAACTCAGACTTGGCACTAAATAAGAGGTTTTCAACTTTATGAAAATAGTTAAGGCGTAGCATTACCGCTCGCCTTTTAATGATTACACAAACAATCTCAATTATGCCTCACTTTGATTCTCTTCTTTACCTTGAATATTTTACAGTAAAAGAAGAAAAATAATTTGGCAAAAAAGCCTGGTTTGGAACATTATGGGAGTAGAGCTCGTGTCTCCAATTTTGTCGTACGCACATTGAAACATTTTTAAGGACAAGTAATCCTTTACCTTGATCAAGTGACATCCTGTATTTTGAGAATATCATGTACTCGTGCATGTATCAATGTTTGGACAGCATCATAATTTGGGAAAGTTTTACGGACTCTTCGGAACTAAAATTTAACGCCCTCGCAATATGTTTTATAACGCTTTTTCCATTAAGTTAATGTACATATTTACGAGATACAACGTTTCACTTTGCTCTATCAAGATAAAATAATCTGATTTAACCTGATTTCATGACTCATTATAAGAGTGTTCAAAATTAAAAGATATTCTATCATACCATATTCATACAAGTAAAATTGAAACTTACTTAAAATGATATCAGGAAACGAAAAAAAAAAACATTAATTTTATCACCGAGGTAAGAGCTATTTTGAACAGCGTTTAGAAAAATAAAATCTAAGACTAATTTCAAACAAAACGCATGCAAAAAACAGGATCACAATCTTCATTTTGGAAAATTGAAAAGGCATGTAAAATTAATTCAGTAAATTAAGTTTCATAGGTACCTTAATTATGTAGCATCGAGTTTTATTTTGCGTGATCATTCAATTGACTACTGACGTTGTAAACCAAAACATGTACCGATTGTGCAGTGAAACTTTTTGTCCAACCAAATCAGTTGATCTGTTATCTAATGATTAAAAAGAAATTCATATGACATATATTTTCCTCACTAATTTTCAGTACTTGATTGATCGTTACATAGGTTATTATTCATTGCGCTTATCTTGATTTCCTGAACGACTTTTGAAAATATTTTAACTAAAGGAATGTTTTAAAGTTTAGTTTAAATTAAGTAACTGTAAGTTTTACATGTTATTATACATTTTCAAAATAATTATAATGTTTAATGTATATAATTAACTTAACGTTTTATTTTGCCGTCTAAAGCTATTCCAATTAACGGAACGCGTCAATAAGTGTTTAAGATTTTAATACTTTGTTGTTTAACGTTTGATGATTAATTCTAACGCGACCCGCATTTTTCCCTGTTGAACATAGAAGAACAGAAAGTGTGTGTTATTTTGCAACAGATGCACAGTTTGACGTTCTATATTTAGAGACGTGACGTAATCATTATACACGTGACGTAACCACTTAAAATCCGACTCGCTGAAAATAAGTACGGAAACAAATCAGTCGCAAATTTGCTTAACTATCAAGTACGGCAACATTTATTTGTTGATGTCGTGTTAGAATCGAAATAATATTTCCAAATCAGTGATTGTATCGCTTGATAACATCACTGTTTGTCGTTCGGATGCGCATCATTATATCACTCGGGCTACGCCCTCGTGATATAATTCCTCGCATCCGAACTCCAAACAGTGATGTTATTGAGCGATAAAATTACTGTTAGGGATATATTATTTCTTAAATAAAGTATGAATAAAAATGCACAAATATTTTGTAACTTTGAAATCAAAAAGGCATTAATATTTAAAAATATTCATATCTTTATGGTCGAAAAAAGCTATTGTTTTTTAAATGTGACTTTTCATTTATATTAAAACAAATACGTTTCGAAAGTTGTGAAATTATTAGGATAGACTGTAAGGTATAAACTATGGTAAAATGAGGTTCAAAATGGCTTTGTGATAGCAAAACGAGATATTGCCACAGTTAACGCAATTATAGTAAATCACCAGAGGGTCATTTGCGAAAAAGAAATCACAAGTATACATATTATAAAAGATTTTTTATAAGATATAGCTATATACACATACAATAAAACAGTCATCAATTTTAAAACTTGAGGAATGTTCAAATCAAGGTTCACAAAAGATAAAATATGTTTCTT